GTAAATAACACATTCTCCCAAAACAACAGCTGCCAACCCTCTTATACATACAGTTGCAGATGGGTCTGCCACTAACTCGAGCATATATGTTAGGTGGGGACGTGCATCTAGGAAGCAATGCACTGCAGTTGGACAATCTGCTAACCAGGTGACAAGTAATTTCAGGATGATTTGTTGAATATACGAGTTCCCCATGGCACAGGACTTTCCATCTTTATTTTTCATAGACGAGGCGACAGCCAAGTATCTGACAATTCGGTGCATCAGTGGCTCTGGAGCTCCTAATGATGGCGTGGGTGCCTCGAGTTCAATTCGAATAACCTGCAAATTCTCTTCTAAACTCAGATGTAATAAAGGAGAAGAGAATTAATTGAGGGAGTGCACTGGGTTTTGCCATTTCTCCCAATACGAAATTATAGCAATTTGATCATTTGAAACAAAATAACTGACGTCAAATATATAACACGGGAACAAAGAATTAAATTTAAAAGGGAAGCAAATGCTCCTCTGAGTGCTCGGGGCCAAAAAAAAAAATCTCTGATATCTTAAAGATTTTCTCTCATGCCAAAAAAAAATCACAACAGACAATCTTCCGACCTTTTCTAAAAGAAAAGGCAAAGCAGTAAAGAGACTGAAGAAAATCAGTATAATAGCACGCCTACAATTTCAACTCTCACCACAGACATGCTGCAACAATAAAGAAATATTTTTGGAAAATAACAGCTGATGATGCTAAGTAGATATTGGTAAATTGAACAACTAAACTAGCAATACAAGCACATTGCAAGCTATTATTAATAAGATACAGACAATTTTCTTCTAATATTGGCTAATCAAAATTATCCACAGTAGACTTTTTTTAGATAAAAAAATTAAGTGAAATTAATGAAACGAAGATAATACATCCTCCTAAGTGGAAAAACAAAGTAGAAATCAATACCAAGACACCCGCCCAGTCTCTTCATAACAATGTCAAAGACATCCTAAAGCAGTTCTGAATTTGGCCCATGAAGACTAAAACTAGTCTACAACTTCACCCTTTTGGATTTGTAACGTTCTAGTACAGCAAGCGTAGGTACTGGTGCATGAAACAACTAAAGTAGCAATACAAGTACATTACAAGGTGTTATAAATGACATAGCAATAATTTTCTCCTAATATTAGCATAATGAAAATACTCCACAGGAGACTAGAAGTGTCTGCAATTTTACTTCTTTAAATCCTTAACATTGTAGTATAGCATGCAAGCAAAAAAGAACTGTTAATACAGCAGAACTACCTACCTTTTCCTTGCAATGGTTATTATCCTTGAGGATGTGAGAAAGAACACTAGCAGCCCTGCAAGATGTCTGCACTTGAAGACATTAGCGAGAGAGTTCCCAAGCAACAAGCACCAAGAAATAAATATCTACTTTTCTTTCAAGCAAGCACTTAATTACCTCAAGGTCGCCATCATTTTCACCCAAAGTAAGGCCACGTAAGAGCATGCTGCCATATAAAGTAATTCCTTATCAGATTTTTGAGATAAAAGTAAATAGTTTTTCGCCAGAAAATTCACTGAAGTAGGGAATGGATTGGAAGGAGGGGTGGGAAACATAGTAGATTCATTTCAACAGACACGTCACTGAAGTGCAGAATCAGGCTAAGGAAAAGTAGCATTTAATACCTTCCAAATGACATGTTAACATCCTCCTCAAGGGGAGCATGGATCATTGGAAGTGGTTGAGGAATTAACGTAGATGCTAACATCGCTTGACCATCACCATTTCCCTGAAAAAATATAAAAAATGAACTAAACAGTAAGATTTAGAAACAAAGGTATTGTAATCCAATGGCATAAATTATGCAATGACATGTTCATACAATTTAAGAAACAAGACACGCAGAAGGATAATTAGCAAAGACAAGAGATTAACATCACAAAAGCTCTTGAAAACTTGATCGGCTGCAACAAACTCTTGTATACTGGATGTTCGCAAAATGATTCGAAGAATAGAATTTAAAGCTGATTCTTCTTGGAGACCATCACCAAGAACTTTGCTCGCAAGGGAATCACGATTCTTGGGATGTCCAGCAATCAGATTGCCAATGCACCTTAAAGCCTGGCAATGTGAATAAACTATATAAGGAAAAAAAATTGAAAGAAAATCAATCAATGTTATTTTAAATAACAAAAGCTCTTTAAGGAAAAATGCTAGAAATTCTAGCAGATACTCTTAACTGTTTCAGGAAAACATTAACACCACAAACCTGCCACTGATGAAACAGGAAATATTTTCATCATCCAACAGATATCATGAGGAATACTGGCTCGACTTATCAATATGCCATAAAAAATGAGCAGGCTAGGTGAGGAAGAAGCTTGCATGCTAGAAAAGAATCGGTGCTTACTTTGATTATACAACATAGACATTCTCATTGCTTCTTTTTTTGGGCAAAGAAGACATTCATTGCTTTTGATATCTTAAAATAAAGATAATAACTCTGATTATGGAAGAAAGTGGAACACTACCTGCCCTCTTTCTCACACTTGTTACTAACAGGGAAGAACCTAACACTGGGGACATGACTAACTGTATATATAGTCCAGCTCCATATTCACAGCCTTTTCCTTAGGAATCAGATTAAAAAAATAAGTAAATAAAGCAAGGGATGTCTATGGCAGCAAGACGTAGAGAGGTTCTGAACGGTAACTAATGACAGAGAAATTAAAATCAGCTAACTTACCGCACAACGAACTGCAATAGGAGCCCATTGGCTTTCAACACCCAACATAAGGAGATTGTCCAACACTTTCTTCTGCATACTCAAACGATCGAGCAGGATAAGAAGTAGCCCAATGCCACCGTTTAAGAGATTAATACCACAGCAAAAATGATTTAACAAACCTGAACCAGAACTGTTTTATTAGTCATTTTGTTTGCATCTTTTGCAGCCTCAGCCTCTAAACCTCCCATAATCAACAAATTAATGGTCTCCAGTGCACTGAGTAAATTGATTGTCTACTGGCATGGTATTTGATCCCAAAAAAAAAACCAAGAAATCACCAAATATTTGCATTGGAACACTAAAATTTCCAAAATAATTAGAAGGAATAGTGACCATATCAAGCTACAAGTACTAGAGTATCCAACCTTTTGCTGGGTGAAACTGTATGTAGTTCCTCGAAGTTTTAAGATTGTTATCAAGGGGTCAAAGCCCATAGTCTCCCGAAGTAGTATCTAAAACATAGACTAAAAATCAACAGCTGGTGATAAACCTATCGCATGCATAAATTACAAAGCAGACATACAAACCTGATTAGATGCATTAGTACGAAGAAGATTGTTCAACAATTCAAGACAATCCTGGAAAATACCAAGAATATTAGTCAATTAAAAATTCAAAGATTTCCCCTAGGCTTTTGAAGATATACCAGATTTGGTTATGCATTAAAAAGAAAATTTACAAAAAGAGAAGCAGAAGTCGGGAGATTTCACATTGTTTCTCATGTTTTCTTAAAGCATTGATGCAGAAAATTCTGCATTTCAATGCAAAATAATTTCAGGTAAGATTATAAATGGCCTGGAAGCGAAAAAGTTACAGCAACTTTGCTGAAAAGTTAAACTCATTAGGAAACAAGGCAGGCATACCTGCACCACAACACCGCCCTCGGAACCTCCTTCTTCTTTAATAATACTAAAGATTTTCTCAAACGCGCCTTCAAAGACCACAATTTTTTGAATCTCCTAAAATCATCAAATCAATCAATTAGTCAGAAAAAAAAAATCAATAACAATATTAATAAAGCAGATTGCAAGTACAGGTTCAACCAATTCACAGCTAAAAGGAATGGGAAAAAGATCTTGCTGAAGAAAAAACTCACTTCAGCCTCACGGGTCAAGTAAGTAAGAAGTAGTAAGGCCTCATTCCGAATGACCTGAAAAGCAAACCATGATTACTTTCGTATGTAGAACTATTAGCCAGTAACAAGGGGGAAAGCCAAATAACAACAGACGCGAAAATCTTTCTCTTCCACATAAACTCCACTCATCAAAAATCTCCAGGATTCTCATATTGATGCATGTCCCAAATGTTTAGAAAGGAAAACCCCTAAATTCCCGAAAGGTGATGTTGTGAAGAGCTGGCCGTGAAGTCCGATATACAGTTTCAATAGATCATGCGGAATAACCACTCAGTGAATGGGTGTGCATCTACCTCACGATCCATAAGCATATCCATGAGCCGTGTTATTCCACGTGGGATGGTCAGAATAGCTTCCTGTAACCTGAAGAGAAACTCTGAAGATCTGTCCAATATAACTCATAAAATCCACTAAATCTAGATAAAAAATGTTTGCTTAATAACTCTCATACCTGTTTGGTGAATTTGTGAGAAGGGCAGTCATAATTTGAAGTGTGTAATATCGTACATAGAAATCATCCTCAGACTGGTGACATTCCAGGCAAAATGACATTCAGCTATGCACAAAATCCATCAAATAATGCATAAAAAGTGTTTTAAACCCATATAATGAACCGCACCAATAAACCTAACAGAAGAGAAATGCTATCTGCTTCTCGGGAAAGCAAATCAGTGTTCATCAAAGCTGGTTGAACCTCGTTCTTTTGTCCTTTCGCATGATCAATGGGAGTCAAAGCACTAAAAAGGGTTTCTAAAGCACCCCGAACCTGCCACATGTATTAGATTAACTTAGTTTTTCTTTTGAAATGTAAGTAAGGTATTATTATGCACATAGGTACGAAGGAGGTACCGCCCATATACAAAATAGTTACACATCAATCAAGTGGTTCATGACTAAACCAATATCTTCCCAATTATTAATGTCATGATCCAACAAAATAGAGTCAAAAGTGTGAATTCATCTATCCCTAATGTTTACAAAGTTAGTCTCTGTACCCTCAAAAACTCTCGCATTTCTTTCCTTCCAAACCAATATCTCTAATGTATTAGATTAACTTAGTGCTGTATATTAATAACAGAGCGCATAATCAAGTTATATAAAACAAATTCTATTACAAAATCCTTGCAAGAGACGAAAGGCACGAAAACCATATTTTCAAATTGTTCAGATTAAAATGGACATTGAACAAATTACAAGTGGTAAAAGATCGCGTGAGAGAAAATCCAACCCAAGCTTTTATTGAAAACTTGTAAGAAAGGTACCATACAGACAGGTCAAAAGGATCCACTTATGCTCCTCAGTTGTGTCTCCCAATATAGAGTAATATGTATAAAAAAAGAGGTGATTGAAGTAATAATATGTATATACATATATATGTATTATGAATATATAATAGGGAACAGAAGATTTGACACCATTTCAACATCATCCCGTTCATCCTTCAAGACTCCTAAAATGACAGGAAAACCTGCAAATAGATGATTAATCATATCACAAGATATTTTTCAGACAACCAATCTTGATTTAACAGACACTAGTGTTTATATTTTTTATCTCAAAAAAAAAATAGACAAGAGATAGTTTACCCATTGCTCCAAATGCAAGTTGGGCAGCATGACTTTCTGCTACGACAGCTTGCAGTTCTGCAATAGCTGTCCTTCTATCCTCTGCCAGTACACCATTGCTTATGCGATCGAGCAAGCGTTCAACATAACTGGATAGAAGCCAAAGAACAAATTACTTGAAAGAAATAATTCCACATCGTGTAAAAGAAAGATTACCTAGCATAATCATATCAATCAACCCCGAGACACAAATATAAACAGAAAGATTACCTATCTTCATTTGAAGAAGAATTCTCATTGCCAAAAACGAGACCAACAACCCCCTGCACAAGAAATCCTCACCCAATACATAAAAATGTAAAATGAAAAACCAAAACTAGACTAGGTCGTAACTAGAATGCAATGATCAAATAACAAAAAGGAGCCAGTCCAAAGGGTCACTACACACAAAATGTAGCAATTCAATCATCATTTTGATGCATTCCAAAATTATCCTTCCATGCCATATCAGAAGAGACGTGTTAGCATAAACACAGCCAGAACTCGAGAAATTTCACTTGTAAAACGCATTATTTACATTTGTCCCAATTGAACACCTGATCACAGTATTAACGGCAACAATATCAACCCGTACTACCAAATAGAAGATGAAACACATTATACACAGAAATGCAAACAAACATATCAAAAGTTGACACACACAAACTAGCAGCAGACGAGGAATAAAAAGAAAAACAATCATAGAGATGGAGAAGGAAAGGTAGAGGGAGGAGTATTACCTTGTAACCAGACACCAAATCCATCTCCTACACTCACCAACGATCACCGCGAAAGAAAATCCTGAAACACCAAAATAGTACGATTACGAATCGAACAGAAATAATTAGAACGCCACAACAAAAAATAATCGATTGAGAATAGTAGAACAATACAAAACCCTAAAAACAAGAACTCCGATGAAAATAAGCAGAGAAGTGAAGAAAATCGAAAACAGTACCGCGAGCTTGTTTGGATATCGCGAGTGCGAGAGAATGAGACAGGGACAGAAAAGGAATTGAACTGAAGAGAAACGAAAAGGACCGATCCCCTCCCAAAATCTCTCACCTTGATCTGTAATTCACGTGGAATTTTTGTGTTTGCCACGATTTGTCTCTTCTTTTTGTTTCTGGTTTTTTTTTCCCCCTTTTCTGGATACACCATGCCGTTAAATTATTTGCTGAACTAATATTAAACTCCATAGATTAAGATTAATAAATTAAATTAATTAAAATTAATATTTTAATTTAATAAATAGTTTTTTTTTTTAATTTTATCTATAAATAATTAATGATATATTTATCTAAATATTCATGTATTATGAATTAAAATATATTTAATATAACAACTTTTATAATTATATAACGAAAAATTTAAATATTTTAAGTTTAAATTGAAGAATACTCTTACATGAGTAATACATTATATTTAAATCCTATTATATGTATATTATGTAACGGCCCCGGAAATATTAAAATGAAATGAGTATTTAAATATATCAAATGCGGAAGCGAGATCAAAATTTCAGTTAACATCCCTTACACGAAAAAAACCAAAAACGTACTTAAAATACAAAAGATTAAACTAACTAAGAGAGAAACTCGAAAATAAAACTATGAGTATGACTACAGAGTCTCTAGGCATCCCCTTCGTCGTCCTCCTGCGGAACGGGCTCGGGAACCATGTCTTCCTGATCTGAAATGGTTAAATAAGGAGTGAGCTACACTAGCCCAGTAAGAACATCACGATATCTCACCGTCACGGAGGTAAAGGTGGGTAGAAAAACACAAAAGACCAATGGAGCATAATTTACAACAAACTCGTTTATTAACATGAAAACCTTTACCCTCCACTTACCTCGGTGGAATTTATGAAAACAATATAAGAAAAACAATAACATTATCATAATCATTGAATAATATAAGCTGTAAAACATAACACTTATCACGCCCCTTGAAATTTCAATCATTGTACAACATATCTTTTTCTCATTTACCAGCCTACTAGTATCCGTGGGGGTCCATAGGGGTTCCGCTACCCGTTAACCTTTAACATTCATAATCAGTTTCCAGGGCCGTCCCCATACCCCGTCCGGTATGGGCGCCAAAACCATGAACCTCAATACCCCGTCCGGTATGAGGGTGAAACGGGCCGTCTCCATACCCCGTCCGGTATGGGCGCCAAACCATAAGATCTACATACCCCGTCCGGCATGTGAGACCACAATCCCGGTAGAGTTCCCTACGGACCCGGTCCGTCCACCATCTCCCAGGATATCTAGTCAGGCTGACCCCCATAATACAATTATCAGTCTACACAATCTTTCATTTTCCTTTTCCTCAGTCAGCATCATCAATTCACATACAAACAAGCAAAACAGTAATTCATGCCAAACAGACAACATACAGTATCAGTTTTTCAGTCATTCAACCCATGATTAATAAAAACGTAGTATATGCACACAAATATGTAAAATGAACACATAAAACCTCATTTTGCATTTAAAGCTGTAAACAGGCCAAATAACAGTAAATCACCAATCACACTAGACTCAGGCTCCATTAGCCACCTTAAGCAATTTCACACATTCGTTAATTCAAGAAATACCGTTTTATCATTTTGAACTTTAATACCATGATAGGAAATAGGGTGAGGGGTCCTTACTTGTTTTCGGGATCCGAATACGATTCACAGTGCGCCTGCAGGCCGTCCCTAATTTTCCCTGAATTTTTCCCGGGGAACTGAAACACACTAACAGTACCTGCACGTGTTCCAAAAAAAATCCAAATTAGGCCCAGGGCCTCTTTCGGCCCAAATCGCAACTCCGGCACGGCGGCTCCGCCGTGCTCCGGCGACGGCGCCGCCGCTGACGGCGGCGAGTCGCCTCGGGTTGGCTGTTTTCGGCCGTTTTCGGCCGAATTCGGCCACACTCGCATTGGTCCTTGTCAGAAAACAACCCTAGGGCCATCGGGGGGCCAAAAAATCACGGAAAAGCGGAGCTTACCGGCGGCGGCGCTCTCGAGTACAGCGGCTCTCCGGCGAGGTTCGTGTTTTGGTGATTCGGCTTCGGTCAACCTATAGAGAAAAGAATGGTGATCACGGTGATATAAAAATTGCATCAAACGGAGGCCGGGAAGGACCTCGTCGGAGGCAAAAATCGAGAGGGGGCGCGGCGGCGCCGCTGGGTTTCGGCCGCATATTCCGGCCGTTTGGCCGGAATTTCGGCCTCAATTTGGCCATAGGAGGAATCAGCGGGGAAAAACGAGTCGGGGGTATGAAATTTACCTCGATCGGCGGTCGGAAATTTCCCCGGTGCGGCGGCGGGTGGCGGCGGTCGGCCTCTGGTTCGTCTTCTCCGGCGAGCGGCGGGCGGCTAGGGTTTGTGGTCTGGTGTGGGGGTTCTATTTATAACCCCTTGCTTTTTGATCACAGCCGTTCATTTCGTTTTAATCTGGGCCGTTCGTTTTTTATTGAATCTGGGCCGTCCGTGCGATTGAATCTGGGCCGTCCGTGCGATTGAATCTGGGCCGTCCGATCGCGCGATTGATCTGGGCCGTCGGATCGCACCCATGCGGATCGCCAACGTGGCTCCTTTCGGAGTGATGTGGTCTTGCCACGTGGCAGGCCCCGGTTGGCCGGGACTGCTGACCGGGCCTGCTGACGTGGCTGCTGACGTGGCCCCTTTTTTTTTTTCTCCCTCCTTTCCGGGTGCTACAACTCTCCCCCCCATAAAGAAATTTGGTCCCCAAATTTGCCTCATTACTCTTGATCAAACAGATGAGGATATTGGGCCCTAAATTCTGATTCCAGCTCCCAAGTCGCCTCCCTAGGCGTGTGGTTCTGCCACAAGACTTTTACAAATGATATTTCCCGGTTACGGAGTATTCTGCTTTCTCGGTCCGTGATACTGACCGGTACTTCTTCATAAGACAAGTCCTCTCGGAGTGAAAGCGGTTCATGAGCCACGACATGAGAAGGGTCCGGATTGTACTTGCGCAGCATAGATACATGAAACACATTGTGAACCCGGGAGAGCTCAGGGGGCAGTGCAAGTCTGTAGGCAGTGGTACCAATCTTGTCTAAGATTTCAAAGGGTCCAATGTATCTGGGGTTTAATTTTCCCCTTCTGCCGAACCTACTAATTCCCTTGAAGGGGGTGACTTTAAGAAACACCCGGTCACCTTTCTCAAAGGCCAGGTCTCTCCTCCGGGTATCAGCATAGCTCTTCTGCCTACTCTGAGCTGTCTGGATGTTCTTCTTGATCTTAACTATCTTGGACGTGGTTTCTTCCACCAAATCCGGGCCAAACAATCTTTTATCGCCCACTTCCTCCCAACAAATCGGTGACCTGCACGGACGCCCGTATAGCGCCTCGTATGGGGCCATGCCGATGCTTGCTTGGTAACTGTTGTTGTAGGCAAACTCTATCAGGGGTAGATGGTCGTCCCAATGGCCTCCGGAGTCAAGGACACAAGCTCGGAGCATATCCTCCAGCGTACGGATTGTCCTCTCTGATTGTCCATCGGTTTGGGGGTGGAAGGCAGTACTAAGGGACAGCTTTGTTCCCATAGCTTGCTGGAAACTATTCCAAAACCGAGAAGTGAATCTGGGATCCCTGTCGGATACCACTATTACTGGGACCCCATGCAGTCTGACTATTTCCCGGACATACATTCTTGCCAACTTGTCCAACGAATCAGTCATTCTGATGGCCAGGAAGTGGGAAGACTTAGTGAGTCGGTCAACAATTACCCATATGGCATCGTGTCCCGATCGTGCCTTGGGTAGTCCCGATACGAAGTCCATGGTGATGTGTTCCCACTTCCATTCTGGAATCGGTAAAGGCTGAAGCAACCCCCCTGGGCGTTGATGTTCTGCTTTGACCTGCTGACATACCAAGCACTTAGATACAAAGTCGGCTATATCTCTCTTCATCCCATTCCACCAGAATCGGGGTCGCATAGTTTGGTACATTTTTGTACTTCCTGGATGCATGGCGAACCTTGAACTATGGGACTCTGTCATGATGTCTCTTTTTAATTCATTGTCGTCTGGGACACACATTATGTCCTTGAAACGAATCAATCCGTCGGCAGAGATCTGAAATTCTGAGTTCACTCCCTGTTCTGCATCCTTCTTGCGGTTTACTAGGGCGGGGTCGATTGACTGGGCTTCCTTTATTCTTTGGATTAACTCGGGTTGGACTGCTAGGTGGCTCAAACATGTGGCCCTCTTCAGATCTTGCAGTCGAACCTGCTGCGTAGCCCCAATGGACCTGCATTCCGAAACCATCAGATGGGCTAGGGTGCCTGCACTCTTCCTGCTGAGGGCATCGGCTACTACGTTGCCCTTACCTGGATGGTATAGGATGTCACAATCATAGTCCTTGAGGAGTTCCATCCACCTTCTCTGACGCATGTTGAGATCCTTCTGAGTGAAGATGTGCTTCAAGCTCTTATGATCGGTGTAGATCTGAAAGGTCTCTCCATACAAATAATGGCGCCAGATTTTCAAGGCGTGTATGATTGCGGCAAGCTCCAAGTCATGGGTAGGATAGTTCTTCTCATGATTCTTTAGCTGTCTAGACCCATATGCTATAACCTTTCCATGCTGCATCAGGACACAACCCAGGCCCAGATAGGAGGCATCACTATAAACTGTATACCCTCCTGATCCACTCGGTAGAGCCGGCACAGGTGCAGTAGTCAGTCGCTTCTTCAATTCTGAAAAACTCCTTTCGCAGTTCTCATTCCAATCAAACTTTGCATTCTTCTTTGTGAGTCGGGTTAGAGGGGCCGCTAGACTGGAGAACCCTTCGACAAACCGGCGGTAATAACCCGCCATCCCTAGGAAACTGCGAATTTCCTTAACTGTTGTCAGCCTTTCCCAACCAAGTATCGCTTCAACCTTTTCGGGGTTCACCGACACCCCTTCCTTCGATATAACATGTCCTAGGAAGGCGGTTTGCTCGAGCCAAAATCCACACTTGCTCAACTTTGCATACAACTTCCTTTCCCTGAGTACCTGGAGGACTTGGGCAAGATGATGAGCATGTTCTTCTCTACTTTTTGAGTAGACTAAGATATCATCGATGAACACGATGACAAATTTATCCAAAAACTCTCTGAAGATTCTGTTCATTAGATCC